CTGAGGCAAATAACTGGCCACATACTGCAACCTAATGTGCAGCAGCAACAAAGGCAGCCACAAAGTAGCCAACGCACGTTAACAGGAAGGTTCTTCTTAAGACAACTATTAACTCTGTTGATGCTGGCTTTAAATTCTTCAGGTGCTACCTAAAGAAAAATTTTAAGAAACAGTAACATTGCAATATTAATGTCAATAAACTTGTCTCAGTAGCATACATTTTTTTTCTAATTTACTAGGAAAAAACTTTAGTTTTGAGGCATTTAAATAGTATATAAATAATTCACTCACTTTTCCAGTTAATGAAGAAGGGAATTCTGATTCAAATTTGTTGCTCAGCCCAAATCTATTAAAAAAAAAATAAGAATGTTATTACATGTCACTGCTGTAAAACATTTAGATCATTTAACTTACTTAAAGGTCAAGTAAATATTAATAGAATGAAGATTCATAAACAGAGGAATTTTGAAACATACAAAGTCTGAGACACAAAATCACTGTAATAAGCAAATTTATGAAAGGTAGCAAGCAATTATTACAGCAGTTAAATCAAAACTTTTGTATAGTAAGAAGCTGAATGTTAATTAACCAGAAATACATAAACAAAAGAATAAATGGTTCACTTAATTTGAGCTACCACTTATACATTAAAAACTTTAAAGCATATTATTTTAATAGATGGGCTAGCAATTTTTTCTAGCTTTGAATGTTATTGGTGAAGATAAGCAATGGCTGTGAATTTTACCAGGTGATCTTGGAATATACACAAGCAATGAGAAGTAAAGATGAAGGGGAAAGAGTGGGGAAAGGAAGGAAAAAGGGAGAGAAAAAAATCAAAAAAAAATAGTGGAGATTGACAAAGTGCTACGAAGCACTGTCTTAGGCTTCACTCAGTACCTACTTAATTGTCAGTGCAGTAGACGGAATGAAAGAAAATGTAGACGTCTGCTATATCTACTTCTATTCCTATTACCTAAAAGACCTTTTCTTGAATCATGGTTAAAATATTCCTTGGCTTTAGAATTGATAAAAGATTTAAACTATTTTCAAAGAATGGCAAATATGACAAGAAGATAAAAGACACAATAAACTTAAGAACCTATTTTGTTGCTACCTATTAGAAGTCTACTAGTACTTAGAGAAAAGAGAATTCATTCAAATCACAAAAATATTGTACACCTTCTATATAACACTTCAGGAGATCCAACAATAAGCAGACTTTTATAGCTTTTTTTTTTTTTAAAAGAAATCACATTCATGGCCAATTTTGCTTTTATATAATTTAAGATAATTTTGAAAGTTCATGTAATAATGGGTAAAGCTT